CTACGTTAAAAGTATACAAACTCTATTTTAAATTTGTAGCATTCACTAAAAGTGTTGATCAGAGTTATTAGCAATCAAATGTTGCACTACTTTATAGTAGTTTAGCACAGTTACGCAAATTTTTAGAAGTGAAAGGGTCGCGGAGGAAGACGGCAATATTACATTTAGAATAAATTCTGGAATTTTCAAAAATGGGAGAAGAATTAATAAAATTTAGTTAATAATTATGTTAAAAGTATACAAAATTTTATTAATTCTTCAACCATTTTTGAAAATTCAAGAATTTATTCCAAATGTAATATCGCCGTCTTCCTCCGCGACCCTTTCACTTCTAAAAATTTGCGTGATTGTGCTAAACTACTATAAAGTAGTGCAACATTTGATTGCTAATAACTCTGATCAACACTTTTAGTGAATGCTACAAATTTAAAATAGAGTTTGTATACTTTTAACGTAGTTATTAACTAAATTTTATTAAAATTTATTAGAAGACACTCGGACAGTTCCCTTGTTAGTACAATATAATATCTGTATAATAGATTAATAATATTTCCAAATTTTTCAATTACATAAATTACATTGTATGATAAATAATCATAGAATATAATTATTTTCATTATAGCCTGAAACAAAACAAATCAATTTTGTTCAATTCACTTTAAAAAATTCTAATAATTTCTACTAAAACTGAACAATTTAATTTTGTTTAATTATATAACATTTGAATAAAAATTCAGAATCTTAAATTTAAATTTATTAACTTCAATAATTAAAATAGATACCTTTCACATCACCTCCAGCACAAAAAGCTTTATCACCAGCTCCTTTTATTATAACCATTTTAATTTCTGGATCAGAATTCCATTCCTTAAATATAATAAAGATAATAATGATTAAAGAATTTTATGATTTAAAAATTTGAATTATTTAAACATTCTTATTAAAAATATCAATAGTAAATGATAAGTATACAAATGCAACAAAATATTGCTTGTTTAAGAGCATTAAGAATAATTTTATTACCAAAAAAACATGAGTTTTTCTTCAATTTCCATTAGCTTTAATTAAGCAACATTTATGGAATAGAAGATACTGCTCTACAGTAAAATTACCTTTGATGGTATTGGCAGTATTTTATCCACTAAACACCATACTGACATAATGGTAACACTTATTGAATACACAAAGAAATAGAAAAATTCTAAAAGATAATGAAGATGTAGATCCCCCATTGATTAAGCAAATAATTAAATTTCTGTCATTTATAAAGAAATCTAATATCTTGAAATAACAAAAGTCCAAGACAATGACACCAGAAGGGAATAAACAGTGAAACAGCATTAAATTCAAACAACTCACCAGAAATATAGTTTCACCAGATTCTGGATGACCGAATGTATCAGTAAATCATCTAACTTCAGGTGATGCACCAATAAGGTTTCCAAGGCAAAATTGGTAAATCAGAAAAAAAAGGAGTCAATGAAAAATATAAAAAATAAACTGAGGTTCAGTCACTGTCCCCAATACTTCACTTAGCAAAGTCAAGTGTAGTAGATCCTTTTTAACTTGTGAGTGTATACATGTGTGTGAACTACCAGGACAGAACTTAATATTGGAAGTAAAAGGAAACAATGTCTTAACCTTGCAAAAACTCTTTCTCCAAAACTTTCAATCGAAAGAAAAATCTTTCACATAGCATCTATGTAAAAACAAACTTTTACTTGAAATAAATACCTTTTTTATGATTTAAATAGTGTAGATAAGTCCTTCATCTCAGCTCATATTTTTATTCTATTCATAATATCTCAATAAGGGAGGCGCTTCCGACGTTCGTCAGTGTTGGTGAGTTTTTGAGTGAGCTGTTTTTTATTGAATTAAAGTGCTTTGGATATGTTTGCTTCTACAAAATGTCTGGTTTTTCATCTTGGTTTCATTAAAGATTTTGATGTATATTTATTATTACGCGCTTTATTGGTAATTGGAGGTATTGAATCTAACCCTGGACCGATGTCTCGCACTCCACCTTCCACCCCTCTTTCGGAATCGTCCATATCAGTTGTTGGAAAACGTCAAAGATCTCCTAGTGAACCGACTTTGAAATCTCAGCGATTGGAATCTTTTTTTCCTCCTTTGGCTTCTTCATCAAATGTACCCCAAAATTTATTTTCCTTTTTAGAGGAAAAATTTGATACTATTTTGACTAAACTTGAAGATTTGTCTACTAAATTCGAATGGCTGGCAAATTTGCATAAAGATTTTGAACAACGTCTCCTCAATGTAGAGAAGAAGGTGGAAGAAATTTCAAGTTTAAATATCTCATCTACTGCTTCGACCTCCTATTTCTTATATCTTTTGGATTCGTCGATAAATGAACGTCAGAGAAATAATATTATTATTGCTGGATTAGAGGGAAACTCGTCTGAAGTTTTGTCCTTGGCTTCCGATATTTTAACATCTATTAAAAGACCTAGTGGCGACTCAATTTTGGTGAAAGATCTTAAAATAATCTCAAAAAACAAATTGGTGGTGGCTAAACTTGATATTGTCTCCGATAAAAAATTCATTTATCGGAATGTTCATAATATTCAGAGAAGGGAAGGATGCTCGAGGGTAAAGTTTTTTGATGATTTATACTGGAGATCGAGAGTTAGGAGAAAAAATCTTTTTCCTTTTTATCAAGAGGCCAAGAAGACCGGAAAAAATGCGTATATGAGAGCTGATTGTTTAACAATAAATGGAGAAAACTTTACGTTTGATTTAATAAATAATAAGCTGATGAAAATTGATCCTTTTTTATCACCAGGGAAGTCGTTGGATCGTCGAATGGACGAGAATTAAAAACTTCAATTGTTATTCCTCATTCAGAGGTTTCTTATACGTTAAAGGTATTGTCATGGAATAGTCAAGGTTCATTGTTTGATAACTTTTCTGATAAGAGTTTTGTTGATTTTGTATCATCATATCATATTGTTGGTATAACTGAATCATGGATGACATTTTCGGTGAAAACCTTTCTTTCATCATTTGATTCCCAATTTTATTTTACTGAAATGTTAGCTCATAAACTTGAGGGACCTGGAAGACCGTCTGGAGGCTTGTTTTTAATGGTTTCTCGGAAACTTGGTAAGTTAGAAATTTGTCATCTCTCTGATAACATTATTATGGCTAAACTTATATTTGATAAACTTCTGTTTAAAGATCGTCCTGGGCTCTTAATTGTTTTGGTTTATATGTCTATTCAAAAATATGATTCGTTGATCGAGTATCTTGATAGATTGATTTTGGATTTTAAAGATGATGATGACATTCTGATCTTTGGTGATTCTAACGCTAGAATTGCCTCCGAAGTAGATACACTATATATAGGTTCTAATAGAAATTTTCACAATATTAGAAAGTCTAAAGATAAGATTTTTAACTATAGAGGAAAGAGATTTTTGAACTTGGTCAAATCTTGTGGAATGATTCTATTGAATGGTCGTTTCGTTACTGATTCTCCTGCTAATTATACATTTATTTCCTCATTGGGTGCATCAGTTATTGACTTGATAGCCATAAATCCTGCATTAGTTGATAATTTGGTGGACTTTAGAGTTTTGAATAAATTTGATTCTGACCATCTCCTGGTCAGAATCTCCTGGACTAGATGCAGTTAGGGCTGAGATGATTAAATTTCTCCCGACTAATATTCTAAATGATTTGTTATATACATTTAATAATTTTAAAACTAGTTATTCTTTTCCCATTACTTGGAAAAATATTTGTTTAAAAATGATATATAAGTTGGGTAATCGGTTTGATCCTATGAATTACCGTCCGATATCGCTAATTAGTGTAATTAGGAAAATTTTTTCTACGTTATTGGCTAATCGTTTGCGTCTTTGGCTTGAGCGGTCTCATACTATTTCTATTGGTCAAGGAGCTTTTGTAGTGAATAGAGGTGTTGGTTATAATCTATTTATATTTTTTGGAATTTTGCAATTAATTTTGACTAAGAAGCGGAGAAAATTATATGTTGGATTTATTGATTTGTCAAAGGCGTTTGATGCAATAGATCATGATATTTTATGGTCGAAGCTTTCTCGGATAGGTATGTCATCATCTTTTATTAATCTTATAAGACAATTGTTTTCGAATACCACTTATCAAATTGAAGTTAATCATTGTTTTTCGGAGGCGGTAACTGCTAATAAAGGGCTTCCACAAGGTGAACCACTTAGTCCTATTTTGTTTAATTTATTTGTTAATGATCTCTCGGAATTTTTTTGTAATCATAATACAATGGGTATATCCATATCACCAGAAATAGAATTGAACTGTCTTTTGTTTGCTGATGATATTGTAATATTTTCGTATTCACCTATTGGTCTTCAGAAAAAACTTGACCTCCTACAAGATTACTGTAAGTCTAATAAGCTATTTATTAATGAGTCTAAATCTAAAGTAATGGTTTTTCGGAGAGGGGGTAGACTGGGGAAAGCTGATAAATTTTATTTATTTAACTCTGAGTTGGAGATTGTCTCGTCTTACAAATATCTGGGTATTTATTTTACTCCACAGGGTTCTTTTTCTTTTCACTTAGAAAAATTGTTTTTGAAATATAAACTTCAGCTTTCTAATTTAATAAAGCTTATGGTCAGAATGAAGCAGTCTTCCATTAAGTCGTATTATCGATTGTTTGATTCCTTGATACGTTCAAGTTTGGGGTATATGTTCCCTATTTGGGGACCATCTTTTGTTGACAAATTGGAGAAGACGCAGTTGAGATTTATTAGATCAATATTTCATATTAATCGTTCGGTTCCTGGACCTGTTTTAAGATTTGAACTAGGTCGTCCACCAATGGCTATACATTTAACAATGACTATTTTTAGATATTGGAGTAAAATTTTGGAGTTACCAGATTATGACCCTAGAAAGTTGATTTATAATAAATTGAAATTAATAGGTGGAAAATCTTCGTTTGTAACTTGGTCTTCCTCAGTTGAAAACTTATTGTCTGAATTGGGTTATTCTACTGACTATTATGTTCAGTTCTCAAATAAAAATCTTTTTATGGTTGAAATACTTCAGTCATTAAAAGATAAATATTGGGCTCAAGATATTCAATATATTGAGCAAAAGAGTAGGTTTTATGAGACTTCCTTAATAGCTCCATGGACACCTCAACATTATTTATTGTCAAATTTAAATTATAGTGTTAAATCTTTGATAATTCAATTGCGACTTAATGACTATACTATTGTATTAAATAGGCGTAGAATGAATATTTCCGCCCATTCTAACTGCCCATTATGTAACCGACTCTGTGAAAGTATTAAAAACCACTTATTTGTATCTTGTGAAATTACTGAACATTTAAGGGATAATTTATTGACAACTGATTTTGATATGTATTGTTTATACGATGATAGTTTAAGCTCTGACATGCTATTCAAAGTTTATAAATTTTTCTGTTATTTATTTAACATGTTAACATAACATTATTAATTAAGCTTTAATATCTTTGAAACCATGTATAACAATGTTTGTATTTGTCAATGTTACAAGATCTTGTAACCCCTTTGTAAAGGCGAAAGCCATAACAAATAAATGTTGATTGATTGATTGATTGATTGATTGATATCTCAATAAAGAAATCAGAAAAAGTTTTAAATAATAAGAAAAAATCATAATCAGACAACAATATTAACTTTGATCTTTGAATAGATTTTTAAAAAATATTTATGCTAATTTTAAAAGTTTTATTTGAGGTACAATATACAGAATGTAACAGGAAAAATGGTCACAACTTTGATGGGTGATAGAACATGGCAAAAGTAACAACTGCTGTAATACAATGTGTGGTGGAATGTGAACATGGAAGTACAGTAAGTACGAAAAACATGGAAAATATGAAAGTAATTTTAATTGCGGATATTTACAAGAAATAATGTTTCATATTTACAAGAATTGTTCAAATGAATGACCACCAACTGCAAATACATGCATCACAATGGTGATGGAGTGATTGGTGTACACTTTGGAAGATATCCGGCATGTCATGTACTGTACTTCTGCAGAAGTGGCGCTAATTCTGGAGACAAGGTCTTCAGCAGAGTTAATTGTTATTTCAAAATGCATATCCGCCTTCTTAGCATTTGAATAGTTCGTGAATTGCCAATAGCTGGCCATGTGGCGTTTTCCAGGTTTTCCTCACATTAGTAATGCCCAAATAGAGGCCAATTTCCCATACAAGTCCTCCCAGGAGGCATCCCCCAGCAGATCACCCATGTCACATTGTTGTAACCAAATAAACTAAAACTAATTCTAATAATTCATACTTCCCACATAGTTTATAGACATTCTGATAATGTACTTAAAATGGCTTTTAACACATACATTTTGAAATTTACAATTAATAATGCCAGGTAAATTTTAAAAGGAAATTCGAAAAATAGAAGCATTCAAAATTAGAATGCATCGGAAACTGAATAAAACACTAATCACATCAGAAAAAGGTTTTTTCTAGAACTCCACCTGAAGAAGATCCTAGGGTGGACTGAAAACATTTGTGGTATGTTACAAAATAACTGCAAAGCATTATTAAGGTTAGTGAGGTGTATTTATAATCAATGCTTTGTTTATTGGATGGATTTTAATGCCAGGTGTAACAATTACTGCAACAGTTACTATATAAACCCAGGCAAAGTCAGGTGTAACAAGCTAGTTATACAACAAATGTATTTGATAGCTGCTTGCAAATATATTTGATCAGATACAGTTATTTACAAGAAAAGAATGATATAACCCAGGGGTCACCAAAGTGGTCGATATAGCATTTTTGGGGGGTCAATGGAAAAATTGAAACTAAAAATTGCAAATACAGTAGAACCTCGATTATCCGGACTAATTGGGGATGAAGGTAGTCCGGATAAGGAAAAATCCGGATAATCAAAACAAATACTTTAATTTGTCTTTTAATGATAATACAACACGTTTTCTTTTCGATGGCATATCGGTAATATTAAAAGTAAATACTGTATTTAAATCGTGATCAAATTTTCAAGAAACAAACGTTCGTATTGCATTAGGACTACTACTGACCAACGCTAACAGACTACCTATTGTTTAAAAGGCCCTCTGGTGGCGCAAGAAGACGGATTTTATAAAATAAAAAGCAGTTGAAACTGCATTTTTATGAATAAAAATTTGACAAACTATTTATCGTTTTATGACAANTGCAAAGCATTATTAAGGTTAGTGAGGTGTATTTATAATCAATGCTTTGTTTATTGGATGGATTTTAATGCCAGGTGTAACAATTACTGCAACAGTTACTATATAAACCCAGGCAAAGTCAGGTGTAACAAGCTAGTTATACAACAAATGTATTTGATAGCTGCTTGCAAATATATTTGATCAGATACAGTTATTTACAAGAAAAGAATGATATAACCCAGGGGTCACCAAAGTGGTCGATATAGCATTTTTGGGGGGTCAATGGAAAAATTGAAACTAAAAATTGCAAATATAACTATTCATATTATTATGTTTTTGAATATTATTTCAATGAATTTAATAGTACAGTGTTTTTCAGATTTAGAAAATATTAATATCCCAGAATAGATTATGGCACCATTTTCCACTCAAATCGAAAACATCCACATCAACTTGCAAGATGAACTTATTAAATTATTAGCTGACCTTGAAGCAAAAACGCTTTTTAAAAATTTAACTTTGAGCAATTTCTGGACGAATATAAATATAACAAAATTACACAAAACTTTGTGATATAGTAAATCCTGTTTGCTGGCATTTTCAAGTTTGTATATGGTTAAAGAGGTTAAAATGGAATTATCATGGCTAGTTTCAGCCATGATAATTCCATCTTAAAGTTATATGTCAAAATAGGAGAAAACTTAAGTAACAGTGCATGTAAATAAACTGTTGAACCTAAAACGGACAGTACATTCTTAATCAGAAAAGAAAAATAATATGCAATAGTAAACTTATATATATATTATGTGATTAACATTATAAAATCTTATTTATTGCAACAACTTAAACTGTTATGACACTTTGAATTTCACAAGAGTCCCTTGCTTTTACAACTGCATTTATTTGTGGAACACTTTATTTTGCAACAACAGCATGTATAATGTATAGCCTTGCCCTCCACTTTTTAAATTATCTGCAGCTGCTTCTCTCAGCAATATTTCTTGAGAAGAAATCTCATATATGGAAAGTAACTTTTCTTTACAAATTACAAACTGATTGCGAGTATAGAGCTGCTTGAGGGTACCTTTTTTGTTTGCTAATTTATAAAAGTCAGAGTCTTCTATTCCAACAACAACTGCCAACACATTTTGGGCATCTGTATGGCCACGGTCGACATCAGGGACTTGTATTCGTACGGTATCACCAATTTGAGCAGGAGGTAATTTTCTTTTTGAGGTTTGTAACATTTTTGTTAGAAAATGCAGAAGATAGAAGATTCAATAGAAGATTCTCTTTCATGGCCGCTCTTTTTATAGAAATAAATTTTTGTTGCTTGACATGAAGACATGGTGAGTTGCAGCTCCTCTTCACTACTTTCCTTTGGAATATGGTATTCATTATGGCCACTGCTCAAATTTCTTTCAAAAATATTAACAATTTCTTCGAGCTGTTCTTTGGTTTCAATATTTGTAATTTGTTTGCCAGGCAAAGATGACGGTGCTTTGCCTCTTTTCAGTTTAACGCCAAACATGGCTTCATAAGGACTTTGACGTATTCCTTCATTTTAATGGTACAATTAATTTTTTAAACGTCAAAACGTTTTAATTGTCTGTAATCCAAAGGTATGCTGCACTAAGTTTAAGCAGAAATCAATTTAGAAAGTATCATTCAATATAAATTAGGATATGGGATAAAAAAAATAAAATTTAAGAAAACGTTGCACGCACCAGCAAATCTTGCATAAGACTAACAAACAGCAGTGTTCCAGAGTATAACAAATAGATTTCAATCGCGGCAGAACAAAAGAATTGGCGACAGACTGTCGCCTTTCTGTCGATATCAGCTTCTCAGGTGTCATTTCGACCTCCACCAAAGCTTATCTGTGCTTGTCGACATACACCGGCGATTGTTCGAATGTATAATAATATAACCAAATATTCGGTCTATCACCAATGTATTTTGTATGTGTCGACATTCACTGTAGAATATCGACATTCTCTAATTTCGGTCTGTCGCGGTAACATATATATACTGTAGCAAGGTAGAAACGATAGCTGGCTGAGAGCCATAGTGGGAGTTATAAGTCGTAGGTCTACTAATCTAAAAACTTTTACATAATTAAAGCAATAAAGATTTAAAAGTAAATGAATAAGATCAAAATACATTTAATTTGAAAATTATAAATTCAGGAAATAAAATACTCACTTTTAATTTTGGATATATCGTGCGAATCATTGAAATGTTGAGAGAATTTAAAACCTTTGGACGATTCAATGTAATTATACCTTTGTTATCCATTTTCTCTAAAATGACTTCTCCTTCATTTGAAGACATGGTTCTCTAAAATTTTAAAATTATTTATAATTCAATTAATAATTATAGAATATGTAATTTATGTCTATACAAATAATTATAAAATTAAGTGTAAGAAAAAAAACCATTTAATTTTATTCATTTGAACATTGAATTTTTACTAGCTGTTACAGCTAGCAAAAATTTATTTATTTACAAAATTTATGGAATTGGTTACCTTAAAAATCTTACACATTAAACAAACAATTACGTTTAAAAAATAATAGTAAAATTAATACTTAAGAAATTAGAAAAATTTTTNAGCAAAAATTTATTTATTTACAAAATTTATGGAATTGGTTACCTTAAAAATCTTACACATTAAACAAACAATTACGTTTAAAAAATAATAGTAAAATTAATACTTAAGAAATTAGAAAAATTTTTGCATAGATTTTGAGATTAGAAAAAACTAAATAATACAAAGAATTTTCTACAAAAGTATTAGTGCTATTTTTCAAAAAAAGGTCCTTTGTGTAGACAAAATGGACTCAGTGAGATGAAACGTAACATTTACAAAATGAGAATTAAAAAGAGAAATGAACCATATTATTATTAAAACAGAAATCTATTAAAGTATATGATGAACTTGTATTAAAAACAGAATTATAGAAGTAACTGGAACATTTGTGGATTTACAAAAAAGGAAAACAATACAAAATAAATAAATAAATAAATATATATATATATATATAATACATTATTACTATTATTATATATTGTTATTATATATATATTGACTGTTGTTTGTTTACCATAAGCAAAGAATGGTCAATAAGGACTGAAAGCATGCAAAAACAAATAGTAAGTATACAGTTTATTAGTAGAAAATAATGTTCATAGGGAGTCAGTGTCTATATCATTGTATGCATACTGATTAAATAACTAAAAATGTAATTACTTTATTAAAGTGCATTTTTATCTTACAAGTTAGTTTTCAGTATTTTAAGATAGATAATAAGATAGAAATATTAAGTTGGCTTAAGTTGAGGTAACAAATCAATTAATGGATAATGGAACAAAATATAGATGTCAAATGTAGTTTAAATATGACAAGTTTCAAAGAAGAAACATTTCAGTAAGTAACATTTTGTGAAATAAAACTTGGCTATTAAAAAAATTGAAAATAAAATTAAAACGTTGCACGCACCAGCAAATCTTGCATAAGACTAACAAACAGCAGTGTTCCAGAGTATAACAAATAGATACCATGTGATTTCAAT